CTTCTTCTTCTTCTTCTTCTTCTTCTTCTTCTTCTTCTTCTTCTTCTTCTTCTCCTTCTTCCTTCTTCTGCCTGTGTTGGTCTTGCAGTCATCCAGATGTTTACACTGGATTGGACATTTTTATCCACCTATCGAGTCCTTCCCAAGGACCTGGGATAGGCAGATGTGTTGATGTGTTGAATGTTTGATGGTGTTAAAGGTATTGTCACAGGATATAAGCTGCTCCAAGTAAAACTGCCTTTTGCAATTGACTGATGGTGATTATGTCAATGGTGATGGTGTTCAAGTGGTGCTCCAGATGTTTTGGGATTACACCTAAGGCACCTATTACTATTGGTAATACCTTTGCTTTCTTTTGCCATAATCATTCTACTTCTATCTGCAGGTCTTTATATTTTGTGATTTTCTCCAGTTCTCCAGTTCTTTCTCTTCTATTCTGCTGTCTCCAGGTATTGCAATGTCCACTATTATGCCTTTTCTCTAGAAGCCTCCACAGGGTGGGAGGGTTGCCTTTCATTTTATCCAAGTGACTGCTTAGTCACTTTCATCTGTGAGCTAGACAAGACTTTGACTTCATAAGAGGCCTGCCTCTATCAGCAGCCTGGCTCTCCTCAATCCCATCAGATATCATGGCTGTTTGGAGTCCTCCTCCCTATTCTGACCCATCAGGCAGGAAAAGAACCTGTGCTGTCTCTTCCCTTGGTGCGCTGTGTGTGTGCAAAGCAGTCCCTTGGCACTCCAGCAGATGAAGAAGCTGTGTCCTTGTCTTCCTGTGGTGCAATCTTGTGGTAGATGGTAGGTGTGGTAGCTGGCTGTCAGCTCCAGCTATGATGGCAGGATATCTAACTCAAAGGACAGAATAGGAACAGAGGAACAGTGTGCCACCCAATAGCCATTTGATTTCCTTCTTTTTCCTCCACTCTTAGAACAATATATGGGAAGCTGTGACAAGACAACTCCCACCCTTGTGGAGGAAGTGGAAGTACTGTAAGGAGGGGAGAAAAATAAAGATAAAGAAGTTGTGGCCAGGAACCTCCCTTTTCTGCCCTTATCTGAAGTGAGAAAAAAGGGCTGCCAAGGTACTTCTTTCTTGCTGGAAATCCTCATCTTGAGTGTTCCTGCTCTTATGACTTCATCTGAACTCTCCCGTTGCCCAGGGCTGCCTCTATTTCATTTGGCTGTACTGGCAGCCAATTAAGTTGTACAGTACACACTCCTAAAAAGGGACTGAGATATGGCAGATAAAGAATAATACTAGAGGCCAAGTTTTAATTTTTAAATATCTTATGCATAGTGTTTCAACACTCTAGAATTTGGGGTGAACAAATTAGATCTATTTCCAAGAAGGCTAATAATAGTAGTACTAAGGCTATACTCAGTTTCTTTCACACCAGAGAAGGCAAGAATATGCTCACTGCCATAAGGGGCTTTAAAGCTAAATCTCTCCCCAAATGTTACACAATACAAGACACAACACAGTCCAAATTCTTAAAAGGGCTATTCTGAGTACCCTTCTACATTTCAAATGCAGCATTTAACTCAGAAACTGGATTGATTCCCTTAGTTTTCAGGGCCCGTTTAGGCCAGCTGTATTTCTGGCTTAAACTTCACTTTTCTAGTAATTCCCTAGCTACCATGATCCTTCTTGATAACTCTCACTCTAGCATGACTTATATCAGTGTGGTTTCTCTGGGGTTTCCAAAAACAAGAACTGCAATGCAGCAGCGGGTGCTTGATATAGTGGTTCAAGTAGAGCAGGGTATATTAGGACCTGAAACTGGCAGCCCATTTCAGTGTCTTGCCCTTTGCAATACTGTGGGGAAGACACAACCCTTTTTGTAGAATGAACTTGTCCCTGTGCTCTGGAGGAAGCTGCGGCCCTCATGTCCCTTCAATGTCCTTTTTACAGTAATTCATGCTCCATCCTTGTATCTCCACCTGTCAACATAAGTCCCTTTTGCCCTGAAAACAAACTCATCTGCTCCTTGCTTTCAGATCAGAACCTAAACACCACCAGAAGAGTCTCAGTTATCAGTGCTCTATGCAGGAAATGGCTTTACTTGGTTCTATTAATATACGATTCAGGCAGCATACCAGTTTGATAAATTATTATTATATATTATTTGTCACAATGGCTTTACTTGGTTCTATTAATATACGATTCAGGCAGCATACCAGTTTGATAAATTATTATTATATATTATTTGTCACAATGGCTTTACTTGGTTCTATTAATATACGATTCAGGCAGCATACCAGTTTGATAAATTATTATTATATATTATTTGTCACTACAATATATGCTTCCACTCATATACAGTATATGTATACTGATATAAATACATATTTAGACATTCACTTAATAGCTTAACAGGTAGAACTTCAGTATTGCATGTTTAAAGTGTTTTTATTAATTATTTTGTTTCTATTACTTAGGGTTTATGTTTGGCATCTTGTCCCTTGTACTCACTATGTCATAGTAAATTGTATTATGCGCTCTTACTGATGTTTTAGAAATGCTTTAGATTTTAGGCATTTTTACTGCTTTCTTTAGACAAGGTTCTGTTGAATTTGCTGGTCAATGACCATAATAAGGATTATTCATATGCTAAAAATTGATGGTAACCAGGGGCTCATAAAACAAGCTTGGGGACCATATAAATTGTATGTCCCAAATAAAGAGAGATCAAGAGAAGGAGCCCAGGAATCTGACTCGAGCAAGGATTAGCGAAGCAGTGAGGAAGATGACTTGAGCAAGATGGTGGTGGTTTTCTTTTCACCATTTGCTTTCAGTTTATTTTCATTCCCAGCTCTGCAGTTCTTGTTGTCTTGAAATATTTGTTCAATAGAAAGCAACAAAACAGGACCAAAGAAACTTTGGAGCAATTGTAACAATGTTGAGAATCCTTGTTACCTCTTTCACAGTATCAGAAAGGATATTGCCACTCTGAAAAGGATAACGTTTTTTTCTAAGGAACACCATGACAGAAGAGACTCAATGCCTTAGCAAAGCTGTCAGTTGAGAAATAGATGATTAAAAGTAAAGAACTGTAATCACCATACATATATACATACAGTTTGCAAAGAAAAAAATGTTAAGTGGTTATTATGTTA